ACACATTGAGAACGGAGGCTCTTTTTTCGCAGGATTTTGACCGTTTCACTCCGTTCTTTCGCCATTTCCCCACTATATAGCGCCCTACTAGCATTTTAGGCCGAGCACCAAATCATCGTGCCAACTGCCTTTAAAGCTTTTCAGGTGACAAAGCCAGTTGAATAAGGTTGTGCTCTAAACTGTGTTGACTGGATATGCGATCTTACCCAGTCCAGCATAAGTGCTTACTCATAATATGAGTTTTATCCGCACGAAATACCGAGCTAAGCTTGAAAATGTCCTCTGGAGGAGAATACCCCATTAGGTTCGTGTTAAGAATGTTAATTTGAAGTGAATAAACTGATTCTCCATCAGAGAAAACGGACCTGAAAGCACACCACATGTGCTCTTCAGTACCTGTACGTTGATCATTCATATACCATCTGAAAACCAGCTAATTTTTCAAGAAGTCTTGACATTAAAGCACAACTGACGAAGGTCGGTATTTAACTCCTTTTTTCCTTCTGCAAATGAGAGCAGACTCGAAAAATAGCGGAACAGACCTTCTTTCTCGACTCACAGAATATGTTTCGGAAAAAAGCAAAAATGCGAACCTGCCAAGGAATCGAACCCCTGACCTCGCATCTATGAAGCAACTTACCTATCCACTACACCATCGACCGCTTATCACTACTGACTTTCGAACTCAACTTGAGCTAGCACAAAGAGTATTCGGCGGGTACTGTGCTGGAGACCCCCCTAGCTCGTCCTAGAGAATCGTTCCGCAAATTCTGAAACAGATTTGAGTTCAGTGTCCCGAGACGCACACGCCAATATGCATCTTATCCTGAATGGCCATGGCGACCTGTTGACATCTCCTGGTCAGAGAAGAACGGACAAAGCTCCACTTCGTCTCCCGTTTATATCAAACGAATTCTGTGCGGCTGTTTAAGCTTATGTGAAAAAGGCTGGCCTCCAGGATGTGGTGAAGGGAGTGGATATTCCACCCACGAACCTAAGCGGACACTTCGTGCGAAATCGCCTTTGGGACCGTATTTGCACAATGCCTTCCTGGGTCATAGTCCATTCGTCAGTCGGAGAGAAAGGAGACTGTATGACATTAGGAAAGGTGTTCAAAGGCAGCTGGCACGATAAATTTCCTAAAGACGAGTAGGATTAATATGCCTGGCAGGACGGAATTCCGCGCCCCTGAGCAGGCGCTGCGTAGCGCCTTTTCCAAGGAAGGTACCCTTATAAGGGCCCTATCAAGCTACAACATACCGACCCGGAACGCCCACCACGCCCGCCCGCCCACAAATGGACGACGCTCGTATTGATTCATTTGCTAGGCAAATTATGAAGTGAAGGGATTGGTATGAAGCGGCGGCGGTGCCGCATGGATATATGAGTACATACATACAGCCGTATCTTCGGTAGCGGCTATTGGCGAGATGCCTATGGAAAGAGGAGTTTTGGATCAGGTTTATAATTCCTAATAAAGGAACATTATTCAGAGAAGTGGGCTTTATTCTCGCTGAGCGGTCCCGTGAACCCCAAAAAGGGCGAAAAAGAATATTATGTGAACCGCTCCCTTTCGAGCCCCTATATGCTGTGAATCACTTGCAGCTTCGATCAGTTTTTGAGCGAGGGCCCTTGAGGAGACTATTGAATACGAGGTGAGGAATTGAGGAACAGTCGCGAATGGGTCTCCCATGTGTCGCGTGCTCAGAATTGAGTGACTTTCAGAATTATTCCTCCAGCGTTTGCGGATCGGATGGACTACTGCTTAGTGTAGAGGACTTCCGTTTAGGCATAATGGTGGGGTTAGTAGTTCGACTCCCCGCAGAACGGAATCTTTTTGTATTTTTCACCTTTTGCTTTCCTTCCGTCCATACATTGTCCGTGGACGAATATACATCGGATAATTGGCATCTATGGACACATTCTAAATGGATCCATGAGCCGACGCTATTCAAATATTACAAATTTCACATACCATTCAGCGGTATCTCAGATGATAGCTCATTTTCATTGGTCGGTCAAAGCCTTGTTCACGAATTCAGCACCTGCACCTAGCTGTTGTGCCATTTAGCTTGGAGCCACAGCTTTCTTTCTCTAGGTGTCTTATGTACCCTCATGTGAGGGACCTTCAGCTCTACTACGGCGCACAATTCCGTCGGCACCGAAAATAAGTGTCAAAGTCGAGATCATGACCACCGATCACCGCTGTCGACAGACGTTCAGCAAACATAACTTTTTCAACCTCCTTGGATTTGTGTGTTGGATTTGCAAACTCAAAACTAACAACACCGATAAAACTCATGCAAAAAAGGAAGGAAGAATAAGTGCTTCTGCAGGTATTTTTGAAAACGTCGATGGAACTTGAAAGAGTGAATGATTCTCTCGGTATCGAAGATTGACATCCTTGTCGAGCGAGTAGTCGTTGGGGGCTAGCGAACGTCTAGAATGCCTTCAGGTATCCTGCGGCCGCCCAGGCTCTGGCCGTGTATGAGTAGATACTTCAGAGCCTTCCACAGCGGTATTAGTGCTCGGCCCCGCTGCTTCATTGTTACGTCATCGACGGCTTCACAATTATGTGAGATTTCGGTTGTCACTGCCTATCGAATGGTGTACCGAAACCCAAAAATCAAAAGTTTCTTTGGAATTAAAGGGCGCCCATAGAGGTGGTCGATGGCCTTGATCACGTTTTGACACTTATTCTTGGCGCCGATGCAAGTTGGCGCTAGTATAGCGCTGAACGTTCCTTATATAAGACTACACTCACCTACTTTTACCTCCTTTTTAGCGTGCAAGCCCCTACGAAACGGAGAAAGCTCTTTCGGAAAAGCGTGGCACGCCCTGAACACCCTCCTCGTAAGATGAACAGGAGGGAGGAATGTGTGGTGGTCACTACAGAGCTGGCGCCTCCACTTTGCCTTGCTCTTTTTTTCATTGTATTCGAACGAATGCTTGGGCTGAGGTGAGGATACTATGCTGAAGCAACTCCGACCCCTCCCCCCGTAACTTCCTTCAGGGAATTGTTCTGCATTTTCTGAAGGCAGACCCGAGTTCAGCGTCTCAAGATCTGCCTGAGTATACATCTCATCGCAAGTGGCCAGGCTGACCTATTGACTTGCCTGGTGAAATGCGGTAGGCGTGGATGTGTACTTGGATTAAACGTGGCGACGGCTAGACTTTTCTTAAGTGTCTTGATTCGGCGAGAGTTGGGATTATACCTCCGTCACAGAACAAGATGACAGTCATCTCGTATTGAAATATTCCACGAATGAGTAAATTGTGAGCGCTGACTTCCGGTTCATAAATCATAACCATCACACCCATTAATCATAACTAGTGATACATCATAGATTGTTGTTTTTCAGACTCCTCCGACAGTCAGTGTACTTGCGATGAAAGCGATTATGTAGAGGACTGCGAGGAATTCCCTCTATTACCAATAGCGGCAGTCTCGTTCAACGGTGCTATTCCATACGATGTGTCAGGATTCGACATTTCTGCATGGGCCATAAACTTCGGAATGACTGAGAGAACTGGGTTTGTGTTCATTGCCATTTCGCATTAAAATAGCCTTTGTACCTTCCTCAGTTAATGGCGGCTGCGAAAACAAATCCGCCAGATGAATTTTCGTCCAACCCCGTGAAATCTTCATGCTCAGTGCACTGAGATCGGGGTGACTTTCAGACTTCATTCAAGTTTTACCCACTTTTAAGAAGACTTCCAAATAGCTGAACGATGAAGCCCACCTGAACTATAATCCAAGGTGCTTTCCTCATGACAAGCCTGAAAAATGCCACCAAACAAACGAGAAATAAACTACGGGTTAGGCCGAGAATCTCAGCCCTATACAGCATATTCGTCAGACTTTTCTGACGCGCCACCACTATTCCTGAAGGAGTCTTCCAGTTGCTCAATACATTTCAACAGTAAGGGATACGAGCTGTGATCACCTGGCTCAACATCGTTGTTGTTTTACTATGAAATGGAAACCGTTATACGCCTCGAGACACACAACTTCCAGGATTTGTTCAAAAGGAGCTTCGGAGAGTTTTCTCTAGTGAAGCAATGTTCACTTTTCATGTACTCCACTAGAGAACTTGATGAAATAAGTCATGCATGTGATTGGCAGTGTAAAGATTAAGTACATGGTATCATAGATACGATTTCGTGCTTGTAGTGCTCCATCCCTTTTGCTTTTTTTGTTGGGACTTTTTCATATCAAACCCGATGGTGGTCTTATCGTGGAATCATATGAAGCTTATCAACCGGCGAGATATTTCCACTCTGAAACCTGAGTTCCTTTTCGTTCTCTTCCTCTTTGCTTTCATTGCGAGCTATCCCCCTCCTGAATCATCATTGTTTTGATATGATTACTGTCGTATGTAATCAGTATCCCCATCGCTGGACACATGCTACCCTTGTTTATAATCCTGTAGCCGCTTATACAAATGTTATAAATATTAAAAAAAGTTGTGATCTGCTAGAGCGGTCTTTTAGCCCACATGAATATCACCTTGAGTGGAGTCGATTAATTCTATGGCTTCTCGTCTGTTCTAATGAATGCATATAATCATCATCCAAGCCATATCATCATCTGCTATGTCACATCTGCTATATCATCTCAAGAAACCAACTTCCCGCTGCTGTTTGACGCGCGCTGTGAATGAGGTAACGCTTGAATCTAGCACTCCTTGTCAGAGACCATGTTATCAGGTGCCATTACTTCTTATCACCCACTGACAATGCTCTTGTCGCATCTCTGTATCACTACATCGAAGCGATGATCCATCGTTAGCGGCGCATTGTGTCATAGGGGATATCCAAGTCGCATCGCACACACACACACACACACACACACACACACACACACACACACACATGATGGAAACTTGTTGAGATTGACCTTCCCTTCAAAATGAATGCTCTCTCCGTCGAGCGTCTGAGCATGCCTGCAACATCATCCAAGGACATTGGGCACCTTACTGCCTAGGTTTTCAGTGTTCGGATCAGTTTGTGGAGAGGGTCTGCATTTTGAGTTCGATCCATTAAATACAAGTATCGCAGCCGTATGGCGTATATGAAATAATTTATGTCTGTACATTGGATGAAAGCTTGTCTAGGGATTTGACCCTATAAACACCAATATCACATCTGCATGGTCACTGAGAGAGGTTGGGATGAGGAAACAGGTGCTCGTCACAACGTCGTCTGCACCATTCTCGCGTGATAACGATATTTTTTTTTGCTCTGTGTATGTCAAATTGCCCCAGCGCTCCCCAAAGACACAAGACCGCCTGGAGCCGCCTGGACTGCATAGGTCATAATCAAAACAGGCACGCCGTGCCTTATCCTGTCAGCCAGTTTTGAGGCTTAGGGTGTTTTAGCGCCGGCGCGCGTGACGCGGACGCCAGACTGCTTTGTGCCAAACAGGTGCGATATTTATTCGTGTGGAGAGTATCAAACTACACCAGGAGACCATTTCTACGCCAATCTGCTTTCGGAGAAAAAGTAACTTTTTGAAAGGTTGGGGCAATGAAACAGATAGAAGGCTCTTATGTCTTTATATGTCCTACGCTATATCAGTTAAATTATCAATACAAGGTTTACATAGCGCACACTACTGCGCTCCCGACGTGATGAAACAGTGCGAAATGGTACTATAGTAAATCACGAATGCCGCCTTCTAGTCACGTCTTATTTAATTTTCTCTGGTTCTTTCATTGGTTTTATCTCAGAGTTCAAATGCGAATAACCCTCTGAGTAGGCTTGCTTCACTGTCTTTCGTTAGCGCTTTCCCCTCAATCATCTTCATTACCCTGCTTTGTTTAGCGTATAATCATACATATGGCCTTGTTCTCCAACAGTTCCTCAATACTGAGATTCTTTAAGAGTTCTGTTCTGTTATCTGAGTGCACAAAACAATCGGTTGAATGGAAGATTCCATGTATCCTTGATCCATTCAAACAGAAATCCATTTAAAGAATAAAAGTTCTATGGAAAGTATGAGAGGTAGCGGATTTATCAAAAACTGCAGCAAAAAGAATGTTTGGCGCGCACTGTCGCGAGCGTCACGCGAGGGACTCGTACCGAGTCCACCACCGACAGCATATCTTCATTTTGTTCCTTCGTTCCCAACCCTTTTATAGACTTTATGCGACCTAACTCTCCCGAAATATCATCTTTTGCTCAAAACACAAGAGGGAGGATATTTAACTGTCAGCTTTTTGTTTGATTATTTTTCCCGTAAACCTTTATGACCTGGCAGTTTGAAAGACGTACAAACTTGAAGAAGAATGACAGTGCCAACACCTGTTGTCAGCCCCTACCAGTTGCTATCCCGTTCTGTCACCGATCAGCAATATGCCCGTCACATCTCCTGTATCAGCTGCTGTAACCAACTTCCCACTGTTACTGTGATGAGCGCTATGAATCAAGCTTGGGTTCTAATTCCCCTTATCGGATCTTATCAGTACTTAACACTTTCGGCCTCCTTGCAGTGCTGTTCCTGTCTCTTACCCTATATCTATCTTGGAACTGGCCTCGCACCGTCGCTTGGACCGGCGCTATAATTTGGTGACACTCGCTTTCTCGCATCCTTTCAGCTCTCATCAGTTCATTTTCTTGTCACCCACCGATGATGTTCCCGTCTGTTGCTCTATAGCACTTATCAGACGTGATTGAGTTTGTAGATCAGAAAAGAGCGTTGGAGAGGAGAAGCATATGGCGAGATTTGGGCGTGTCTGTGTGTTGAGACCAGCCCATAGTGGGCGAAGGCGTGCCCTCCAAGCACGTGCTCCTATTTTCGCTGAGTTTATTGCGTAAGTCGGCCGCACTGTTGAGCACATGCCGTCACAGCTACATTTGGTACCAGTCGCGCTCTCTGACTTCCTTCTGTTACACGCCCCGGCTTTGTCGCGCTTGGAAAAATATCCTTAAGAAGCACTACTAAAGCAGGATAACTTCAGTTCAGTTTTTACTGATTTCATTTTCTTTTGATTTTCGGAGTTTCAGGTATGGTGGACTTGCACTAGGATATCAAAACCCAAACGTTCCTTTTGACTACGGAGTTGGCAAACGAAGCTCACTCCGTAAGTTAGCAGTACGGCATGTGTCAAAGGTATTTACAACACAATCCTTCCACTGGAAACCTGGTTATTTAATAATAGTTCTTATCTTCAGATTTTATTCGATAACCGTGCTTTTCATTCCCAACCTGTCTACCTCAACCTCTGGCACAACTCATTGCTCAGGGCTGCTATAAACAAGAGTGGAAATGACGTGAATCCCGGAGCTTATGCTATTCGACTCACTAACCATCCTCTTCCTATTGGAGTGTTCACATTCAGCATCAAGCGAATGTTGGTGGTTTTCTAAATATTAGGTCATCCCATTCAAAAGTGCCGTCGGTTTTTTTCGAATAAAACAAAGAGGAGAATAGATAAAAAAGTAATATTTTGGCTCCAAGTTAAGTAAATCCCTCCTTCACCAATGACCCGCTCCCAGTGCCCCGAAAGCCTTTGGACCTCTGGTACCTTCGATTTTTCAACAAGTGCGAGTAAATTGCTGTTGATGCCAATTTCGGCGAATGACAAAACATTGTAGCGTTTGCCGTCGGAGAGTACTCTCGACTGACGAGAACAATTGGAATCGCTCGGCTTTATGTCGGGCGAATGGGGCGATTGAACCCAGGTCTCAGTATTGTTTGTGTCCCAGCACTGCCCTACAATACAGTTACTCGGGGTCTGGTATTCGTGTTTGGAGGTTGAATGTGGAAACAGAATTTTCGGCCTTTTTTTGAAAAGCTCGATAGTAAAACTGGTCTGATGTCGGAAGATTGGGGTAGTAACAATTGTATAGTGCCCCATCTAAAAGATCATTAGGTGAGTCTGAGAAACACACTAACTGCTCCTCATGCTAACATTCTCCTCTTGCGAAATTAAGGAAGACGAACTACCTGTTCACGTCCTTCTTACTGCAGAGTACGGAAGCTTGCAAAGATTAGGAACACTAAAATAGCCTGTCAGTTCATGTCCTACAGTGCGAGATTTGCGCTTAATCGCTATGGAAAGCGCGGATCACCGAAGATGGCAAAGTGCCAGAAGCGCCGCGCGCGACACGTGCCGCGCGGGTGTTGTAGGAATAGAAGCTTGTGAGCCGTTGTCTCGTACAGCTACAGTATGATGTCGCCACTGTTGCCACGCGCAAATGTCTCTAACTTCTTTATCGCGCCGTTTTGAGGGACGAAAGTGGTATGTTCTTTGTGAACGCGTATAACAGTTCAAAAGGCATGGAGTCATTTTGAGGACCACTTACTTGATCGCGGGTAGTGTTTTTAACGGTATCGGATGCTTTTTATCTAGTTTCTCATATGAAGGTAAGGCTCTGTGAGTAAAGAAATGACGCCTACTATTCAGCCTCGCTTTAGCAAGGTTATATTTAATAGTGCTTCCCCGAGTAATAGACGATCTGAGCGGAAAGTCCACCGTGCATGAGCTTATGCAAAAGCAGGAGATCGCTTCCGCTTCCTCCTTAACATAAGAGTAGACAACTCAAAGTTCTTATTTCTAGCGGCACTGGAGGGAATTTGATCATAACGGAACCCTAGTACGCGTACCATGAGCTTCCTAGTGAAGTTGCTTCTGAACTCTCCAATACGTGATCATTTTGACCCTATAGGGATTGAACACAGGAGCCTCCGGATCTGCTTCGAGAAGGTGGATTCTTCCACTCCGTGGGGCCGTGCCTGTGGGGAAGCTCGCCCTTCAGTGTCGGTAATCCACTGGCCACGCGGGTATTGTTTTATAGATTGACTTGATATTGATATTATTGACTCTACTGCTCTCTGAAGACGAACGAATAATTAGTTTATTGTCCAATCTCACGTTAGTGGAATAATTAGAATACCGAATAAATAGAACACCGGTAGAATCGTTAATCCCGTAGTAGCAGCACCGAAATCGAGCGGATCGACCAGAACA